CATTATTGCTTAAGTTTATATTTGAAGTGAATTAATTTGTCAAATCCTGTTTACATCTGCTCTATTCAACTTACGATCAACAAACTTATTGCTCTGTGAATTTTTTTTACTGTGCTCCAATTTACTTGATATTTTGGAAATAGGCTAATCTTTATCTTAAGTTCAGTAAAGAAAACAGTTTGTACTCCGTCACCATCCACCGCATTAATTGGATTATTACTCTTTTAATTCTGATTTTATCAGAACTTGTAATACACTATTTTAAAGATGATTAAATGAGCTACAACTTTCTGTATCATAAATTTTACCGTAACTTCTCTTATTGTGAAACGGCGAAGGGTTAAAGGGCTCTAAAGACCTCTGGTTGGACAGCCGCGCACTCCTTAATTAATACCTCTATCAATATTTGTGTAATAGAAAAATAATAAACAACAATAATTAGTCAGAAAAATACCTCGAATTTTCATATATATATACTTTTATACGTATTCTTTCAGAGATATTATAATGAGAAATTGGATGTTTTTTTAATGTTTTTTTTTTTTTCATAAAATCATGAGTTTTTTGAAAATCGTTTGTACTAAAGTTGTGGTATTTTCTAGAATCCATCAAGATCCCTTAAACCAAGTTAATTCTAGATGGAATACGATTATTTTTAAATTTGGTGGAAATGGCACTGAAAAACTATTTGATTTATATGAAAAAAACATTATATGCGTCTTTTATTTGCATGATAGTTTATTCATTTTACACGTAGAAGTACTCATTTTAAAGCTTATTTTGAGCACTATAAAAACCCATTTTCATATCTAGCCTAATAATGTTCCTAAAACACTATAAAATAGCAATTTATTAAGATTTTAATTGATATAATTTTGTTCATTACATGATTTTCGTTAAAATGTATATTTTTGAAGATATTAGCAAAAAATGATGAAAAACGCAAAAAAGAAACAAACTTTCAGTAGCCAGTAGCTTGAAAAGTATTTGCTTTTTTGAAAAACATTATAAACATTTTTCTCTTATAATTAGTTCTTTTATCGATACCCAACGTTATTTTGAAAAAAGTAAAATTACACCAATGAAAAGAAATGTCATCCACCAGAGAAGTGGTAAAGGAGTCTAAATTGTTTTCACTTCTGAAGAGTAAGATGAACCTAGTTCCAAAATTCCAAACGAAATGGAAAACAGTAAAAAAAGTTCAGACCGAAAGCGCTCCATTGAGTAAATATTCCGTACCCAATGACAAACATATGAATTTTTGACACAATGAAACTTCTAAATATTTTTTTTTTGTATTGTGACTTAGTATAGTAAGGCAAAACGACTGCAAATTGAATATTTTTGAGCGCAATCACTTATGGCTTGTCTCTTTTGCACGAATTCGTACGGCGAATCTGTTCGCAAAGTGCGCAAATAAAATTATTGCAATCAAAAGCAAACCACGCGCACGTCAGACGCATGCGCAGACTTTCAGACGCATGTTATATTATTTGCATCTTATATTAATTTAATTTCTGGCAGCTGCTTTTCGGCATTAATAATGTAGAGATTACATTTTTCATATTCATAATCATGAATTTATTATATTTTAATATTGCCTTAGCCTATAAGTGAATAGAAATGATTGTAAAAGTAATGCACGATAAATGATTAATTATAAAAAATCATTAACTTTTACAATAATGGGACGAGCTTTTAGACCATGTGTACCTACTATGTGATATACGGATTTGTGCACTCAAATTAGTATGAACATAGATTTTTTAAATCTAATTAATCACTTGCAGATTGCAAAATTTTGTCTAATTAGTTATTAAGTCGGTGATTTCCAACCATTTTTTATTCATAATGATCGAGAAAACATAAAATTTACGAATCAAATGGTTGGGCAAAGGAAACTTTTTTGCGATAAATATTTAATTTTAGTGCTTTTTTAATAGCTGGAGAACTAACCATTTTTGCCGAAGAGTTTGTTTATTTTAACTTGTGTAATTTTTGTCTATTTCAATTGGTGTATTTATCTGATTAAAAATAAATCTCATATACAGTTATAGTAATCGCAAAAAAATCTAAAACATAAAATTTTATATATCTTCAAAGATTTCTGAACATTTTGGCAAATTTTCGTCGACGATTTCGCGAACATGGATCAACCAATTTGAAAAATTCAGAAAACATTTGTCATGTATTGAAGGTGAGAAGACGTGCTGATTAGTTTTTGGCAAAGGCAGGATAAGCCGTTTCGAATATACGGGACAAAAAATGCCAAACTGATTACATTTTTAGGAAGGCAGGTCTAGCGGTTTGGGAATCCAGTAAAAAGCACAACAAAAGCCATTTGGCATATGCACATCAAATTATCAGATATTTTATAAAGATTTTAATTAATAGTGAGTTAACGCAACGTGATTGCTTTGAAAAAAAGTTCGAAATTTTCAACAAAATATTTCAAATTAAAAACTTAACTTTTCAAATTTTTTAAAAGCTTTTCAAAAATTTAAATTGCGGCACGAAAAGTTTCAGCAATTTGCCTTTAGGCATGATGCCATGTACCACTAGTCAACTTGCAACTGGCAAAAAAGAGGGGCCTCGCAAACGAATTTCGCCGACGCCCACGAATGGTCTAGCGCCGCCACTGTATATATATATATATATATATATATATATATATATATATATATATATATATATATAACTTGTTCATAATAGGTAGTTCTTTTGTCTATGGTTGGCCAAACTACTTTAAATGCAACTGTAACAGCTGTAATCAAAAAAGTTTTTTCAAGAAGTCTAGCAATGCGATATTCAGCCAGAGGACAGAAAAACAAGTTAGACTTCTCGGCGTTAATGTTATGTGATATTGTTGTCAGTATGTATGATCAAATATTATAGCTTTATTCATTCGCACACACACACATATTTAATGTTTAATAATGTAATAGTGCATGTATGTGTTAAGAGTTTATTATTTAATATCATGTGCTATATGTTGAGGTATAATTTAACGACAATTTCTGGTGTATATTCAAGTTTATTAAAAATCATTTGCAGCGGCTATTTGAATTAATTTTACTAAAGTGACACAGCTTGATATCATCAATCGCATAAACGTTGTAAATCGCACAGTCTGGAGACTGGAATGGAGGGAAGAAACGAAGTATTTTACAGCTAAAAAAATTATATTGAAAATACTACAGGCTATGATATTATATCATTATGTACAAATTTTAAAATATAAATTCATATTGCAGGAAATATAAAATATGCTACTCATTTAGATTATATTAAGCTAATTGATCTTCTATTTATTTACAATAACAAAGGTAAGAATAATGAAATTCAAAATTTTAATTTTGTTTTTAATTATTAAAATTTTATATAAAATAATTTTAAAAACTGGCTTCGAACCTGTGAAAACAAATATCACCTTCGGTGCCAATACGATATCCGCGGACCATTTGAAAAAAGTTTAGGAGAAGCGGGGTGTAGAAAATGTAATTACATGTTACGTTATACCTCAAATGTTTGTCTCGACACCGTCGCCGTATAAAGTGAAATTGCAGGTGAAAGGATATAAATAAATTAGAAAAATATTAAATGGATTTAGCAGATTATTTATTTCTTGTAGCTTGATGAAAATCGTACTGTAGTTGAAGATTTCTACACATGCTGTGCTCAAGTTGGAAAGCAATGCAAGCACATATGTGCACTTATTGTATTTTTAAATACAACAAGAAGCACTACAAAAACTAGTTTCGCACAAGGTTAGGGCCAGCCATCCGTTGGCACACTGGCTAAATAAAAGTACTCCGAAGGAAAGTTGGTGAAGGATGTTTTTCCACCGCGAGTATCTTTGCCTACACGCTGTGTTGGGAAATTTGTGTAAGGTGCCCTTACAGAAAGTACTTGTGAGGAGGAACTGCGGATTCAAACAAAGTTGAGTATAATCGGCTCCTTCATGAAAAAAAAGAAAACTGATGCCTGTGCAGGTATTCTAGTTGATCTTCTTATTTTCATGGAGGCAGTCTTGCGTAAGCATTCGTAGCGTACACATCGTTCGAAATAAATATATATTTTTTGAAGTTTAGTGAAAGTAAACCTTGTACCTGTTGTGTTTTGATAGTGAGCTGATAAACAAACAATGGAGTCGGGCCCGTTCGGGCACGAGGGCAGTCGGCCGCCTGATAAAGGCATTACACAGCATTCAGATTTAGGCGCAACCATTGCAGGTGCAATGCACGTGCTAAATGACCTTGAAGATTTTAACAATGAAAGTAGTATGGATTATAGTATAGATGATCAAGAAATAGATTTAAGTAGTTGTGAAAGTATTCACAACTTAAATAATCAATCTAATAAAAACAAGATTGGAATTAATAAAACTAATCCCACAAAAGTTAATAAAAAAGAAACAAAGCTAAAGAATTCTAATTATGTAAATAGTAATAAAGAAAATAAAATTAACAGGACAATGAAATTCATTAAAAAGGTGACTAGTGCAAAAAACAACAAAGTCAAAAGATTAGAAAGTGGAGTCAATTCAAAAGTTGAAGTTCAGAAAAGTAATGATACAATAAATAAAAACGTAAAGGGCATTCAACGCAGTAGCAATGATAAAGTAAGGGAAGAAGCTGATAGTGTACCTAATGCGAATAATGAAGAAAATGTTAATCAGAATGAATCAAATTCTATTAACAATAACATGGTTAGTGAAGAAATGGTTGAGATGAATGAAGTAAAGTCAAGTAGCTATGCTCGAAACAATAAAATACGATTTGAAGAATACGATAAAGGACCATATCATATTTATGTGGAATCAATAAATAAAAATATTGGAAGGTTACATCACATGGCAATTGGAAGGATGTTATATAAATCAGTTCCAAAATTGAAGACAGAATTATCAGAAATTGCACAAATTGGAAAAAAACAAAATAAAACTAGTAATTAAAAATGCAGAAACAGCCAATAGTTTACTGGAAGATGAATTTTTCAAGATGAATAATCTCAGAACCTACATTCCTAAATATCTAGTAGTAAGACAGGGGATAATATTTGACGTTGATATTAATTTATCGGAAGACGAAATAATGGAAGTTATAGAATCTGATTATCCAGTAGTGGAAGTAAAATGTTTAAAGTCAAAAAGAGGTAATAACATCAATTATAAATCGCAATGTGTGAAATTAACATTCAGGGGCTCCAAATTGCCGGAGAAAATTTCAATATATTCAGTAAAATGTAGGGTTAGTCCATACATTAAAAAAGTAGTGCAGTGTCATAATTGTTGGTTCTTTGGTCATATAAAAGAACAATGTAAAAGTAAAAAAAGATGTCCGAAATGTTCAGAACAACATGGAATAGAAGCCTGTACTGAAATTTTAAACTTGAAATGCTGTTTATGCTCCGGGAAACACGTTGCAAATAGTACTGAATGCCCGGAATTCAAAAGGCATAAAAGTATTTATGAATTGATGGGGACTCATAATATAGCTTTTCATGAGGCGAGGAATATTTTGCGAAATGACAAATATTCAAGAGCTGTTAAATTTAACCCTTACACTATAGATAAGGAAAAAGATTTTCCGACGATAAAAGAAAAAAGGAGGGATGAATACGGACTAGAAAAAAGTTACTGTGATAAAAATAAATATAATGAATTATCAAAATTAATAGAAGAAGAAAAGGATACAGAAGAAGAAGACATAGTATGGATTAGAAAACCAAAAAGGTCACATGTCAAAAATGTAACAAGGGTAGGAGGTCAAGGTACGACTAAAGTACCTAAGTATAATAATATAAATAAAGAGACGGATATTAAAAGGGTAAGTAATAGAGAAATAATTAATAGAAAAAGGCCGATTAAAACGTCGGAAGATGATACGGATCAAGAAGGAAATGAATCAAGAAAAGAAGAAAAAGATCCACTCGAAATTCTTAAGCAGTTAGTTACACAAATTAAAATAATAAATAAATCTGACGATTCTTCCATAAATAGATTACTGAGTATTGTGATAAGTAAATTGGAAAAAGATAAGAGAACTACAGGAAGTTCAATAAAATAATAGAAACAATATACATATATAAATAAGCCAAAATGAATTTAAAAATACTACAATTAAACTGCAGATCATTGAAAGCAAATAAAGAAAGTATAGAACATTTCTTATACAATAATCAGATTTCGATAGCGGCCTTTCCAAAACATGGTTCAATCCTAATGCAGTATACAAAATCAAGGGGTATAAGATTTTTCGGAAAGATAGAGAAGATGGATACGGCGGAGCAGCCATCATCGTCAAAAACAATATAGATTGTGATGAATATGAAACAATAAACAACAATAAGAATATACAAATATGTGCGGTAACAATTAAAACAAATATAACCTTTTGCTTAGTTTCCATTTATTGCTCAAATAGAGAAGAAATAGATTTTACTGATGTGAGGAAAACTATAGAAGGGATCCATTTAAAAACATTGATCGTTGGAGATTTCAACAGCCATCACTTTGAATGGGGAAGTATGGCGAACAACACATCAGGAATAAAATTACAAGAAATCATAGAAGATCATTCATTAATAATTCTCAACAACGGCAAACCCACAACAATCGAGACAAGAAACAAAAAAGCGACGAATATAGATTTATCTTTATGCTCCAGCAATCTCACAGATTACATCAGATGGGAAATACTCGAAGAATCTCTTGGATCTGACCACTTACCAATTATAATACATATTTACACAAATGCAATTTCAAACATCAAAATCTTCCCTACAAAAAATGGAATACCAATCAGGCCAATTGGAAAGGATATGGCGAAGAAATTTCAAAAACTCTCCAAAACTCCAACATACCTAATACAGGAAAACAAAAATATGAATTTCTAATGAATTGTATAGATCACGCTGCAGAGAAAAACATAAAGAAATGCAAAGTGATAATTAGCTCAACCTTCAAACCAGCAGCATGGTGGGATCAAGAATGTGATATTAAGGTAAACGCAAAAAAACGCATTTAAACAAATGCGCAGAAAATATAATTATGATAATTTTATCCTATACCAAAAAATAAATGCACAAACCAAGAGATTTTTAAAGAACAAGAAAATACAAAAATGGGCGGAATACACAAGTTCAATTAACAAAAACACAAATCCGGCTACAATTTGGAGGAAAATCAAAATATTCAACAACAAAAACACAAATAGGAACATAAATCCAAATTTTATGGAAGAATGTGGACATCAAATATTACAAAATATAGCACCAGATTATGTCTGTAACAAACAAGATATATTTAATAAGAATAATAATGAAGAAACGGAATTGATGTCACCTTTCAAATATAATGAATTGAGAAGAGCTCTAAAAAACAGAAAGAACACGGCTCCAGGTAAGGATAACATTTCATATAATATGATCAATAATAGTCCTACTAATTTTAAAATGGAACTTTTAAATGTATTTAATAATATGATCACACACCACTGGATTCCTGAAAAATGGAAAGAAATAATTGTAGTACCAATAATTAAACCTAATAGAAACCCACAATCTATAGACTCTTATAGACCAATATCACTAATATCATGCGTAGCAAAGATTTTCGAACGAATGATAAAAGAAAGACTGGAATGGTACATTGAAAACAAGAACATACTCCATGATAACGTATTTGGTTTTAGAAGCGGAAGAGGAACAATAGATTTATTGAGTACCCTTACCACCGACATAAATATATCGAGGTCGAACAATGAATATATGTTGCTACTGTCAATAGATATTGACAAAGCTTATGAAAACGTAGACCATAATATTCTACAGAAAAAACTACGGAATATAAATATCCCAAAGAGTATAATTAGTATAATATTGGAGTTGATATCACCAAGATATATTTATCTACGAACCAATGGAGATATGATCGGCCCTAGATCAGCATACAACGGGATCATACAAGGTTCCATTTTAAGCCCCACATTATTCAACATATATACTGCGGATTACCATAAGATACCTGATACAAGTGTTAAAAAATTACAATATGCCGACGACATTTGTTTATACATATCAAGACCGTCAATAGAATCATGTATAACGCAAATGAACTATGCTGTTAAAGAAAACATAAAATGGTTATCAAGCAATAATTTAAATATATCACCAACCAAAAGCTCAGCAACGATTTTCACTAGACACAGACTCCCTCAGAATATAGGTCACATAAGGGTTGGAACTCAAGATATTATAATAAAAGACAACGTGAAAATACTAGGCATAACCTTTGACGCCAAAATGACATTTAAAAAACATATACAAGAATTATCAAGAAAATGCGAAACAGGCATCAATATACTTCGTAAAATAACAAATACTAGATGGGGAGCACACCCAGAGACATGCCTTTTACTGTACAGAAATTTGATTAGAACTCAAATAGATTACGGATGCTTTATATATGGAACAACATCAAAAAGTGAACAAAATAAACTTGATAAAATTCAATATTCCGCAATAAGAACATGCATAGGGGCATTTAGATCAACACCGACAAATGCGTTATTAACAGAAGCAGGAGAACCTCCTCTGAGCATAAGAAGAGAGATTCTAGCAAACAGATTCTTGATGAAAAAACTTAATGGATCATGTAAATTATTACCCAAACAGTTAGAAAAACTAGCAAAATTACATTACTCCACACGCTACTGGACAAACAAACCAGCTCCATCACTAATAAATAGTTTTTATATAATTAAACCTCACGAAGAGAACATCATAATCAATGATAAAACTCCATATTACATCTACCCACCGCTAAACGATTACATTAAACCATACATCGATATAGATAAGAGCACAAACATAGCAAACAAGGACATATGTATCCGTGAATTAGAACTTTATATCAACTCAAATTGGCCGGATTATTTGCAAATATATACTGATGGCTCTAAAACATTAGAGGGAACCGGATGTGCCATACATATCCCAAGAATCCATTATAGTAACAAAGTAAGACTTCCAAACTATACATCCATATATTCAGCGGAACTTATAGCGATATACACTGCCGTAAAATATGTGAATGACAATAATATTAACAAATCTTTGATACTAAGTGACAGCAAATCAAGTCTAACAGCCATAAAACACGCCAATAAACATTCAAATATAATAATATACAAAATTATAGAAATCATACAGAAAATCAATACTGATAATAAATCTATGATTCTGCTTTGGATAAAGGGTCATTCTAATATAAAAGGCAATGAGATGGCAGACAATCTAGCTAAAGAAGCATGCACGAACGGCGATCAATTTGCAAAAACTTCTGCGCTAGATTTAAAACATTTAATAAAACAACAAGGTTTGGAATTATGGCAGAAGTCTTACTCAGAAAGTACAAAGGCAAAAGGATTCACATATGCACTGACGAGGGAGATGGTTTCACCAAACACATGGTTTAAAAACATAGAAGAAAGTCGAAATTTTATTACAGTAATCTGCAGATTGAGACTCGGACACTCCTACTGCAAATCGCATCTGAAGAGAATTGGTATCTTACAGGATCCAAAGTGTGACTGTGGAAGCCTAGAAACACTCGATCATTTATTTTGGGAATGCAATTTTTATCAGCAAGAAAGATCAAAATTATTCAAGAATTTACAAAACGTGAAGATTATTTTTCCCATCAATGTACAAATACTTATATCAAGTAATGACATAAGGATATATAAATATTTATATAATTTTATAAGTAATAGCAAAATTAATTTATAGCATAATTATTATTATATAAGTACCAATGTATTGTATAGAACTGCTACAACTGTATAGATAATTGTAGTGGCAAAATGATGTAAATCAGAAGCCAAAATAAATAAATAAAAAAAAAAAAAAATTTTCATGGAGGAGCAAGATTTGTTTTCTCTGGGTTTGGATAAAATTTTGAACTGTGTCCATAAGAAATTTCATGATATGCATATTGTTTTGTCAGCTAAACAAATATTAGATCTTTCCGTTTTAGAATTTCTGCAAGTCACAAGGCTTATGCTATTAAAATACGAAAAACTAGCTGTAAGTGGAATTCTGTCTTAAGGCAATTAAGGCATCGTGCCTTAAGGCAAATTGCTGGAACTTCCCGTACCAAAAATTATCATTTTTTTAAAAACAATTATCATTTTTGAAAAAAATTTTACTTAGAAAAATAAGATTTTTGAGAAACTATAAATTGGACAAAAAATTACTTTTTTGAAAAAAAAATTATATATATATTTTTTTTTTAATATTTTTTTTTTTAAAAATTTTTTTTCTTTATTTTGACATATTTTGGAAGATCTAAACTTTTTTTCAAAGCAATCGTACTGCTTTAACTTCATAAAGACAAACTATCAAAGCGCGTAAGCGCCGCGTCGCCGTCTAACGCGTAAACATTGGTACGGAACCCATAGGAATGTAAACCAAATTTATACTTATTGTTAAAATCTCTAAAAAATATCTGATAATTTGATGTGCATATGTCTAATGATCATTTTTGACCGCCAAATGGCATTTTTTTTTACTTTTTTCATTCGATCTCCGAAACCGCTAGACCTGCCTTTATGAAAATTTGATCGGTTCTTCACCTTGTCAATACAAGTGAATTGTTTTTTGAATTATTAAAATCGGACGCTCCGTTTTCTTAAAAACTGAGTTACCGTTTTTGGCACTTTTTGCCCCGTATCTTCGGAACGGCTAGACCTGCCTTTACCAAAAACTAATCAGCACGTCTCCTTATCAATACGAATCGAATGTTCTTTGAATTATTCAAATCGGTTGATCGGTGTTCCCGAAATCGTCGACGAAAATTTGTATCCGCACATACATACACACACATACATACATACATACACACACACACACACACACACACACACACACATACATCCATTTTTTCTAAGGTATGCCAAAATATTCAGAAGCCTTTGAAACGTCGAGAAATGCAAAAATTTTCATTTTCGATTTTTTTGCGATTACTATAACTTGCCCTACGGGAAGTTAATAACACATTTTCAGA